GCTAGGGTCTGGAACCAACTTCCAAGAGAGGTGGTGCAGGCTCCTACCCTGGGGGGTTTTAAGAGGAGGTTAGATGAACACCTTGCTGGGGTTGTTTGACCCCAGTACTATTTCCTGCCATAGTAGGGGGTCGGACTAGATGATCTGCTAAGGTCCCTTCCGACCCTAGAAACTATGAAACTATGTTTCTAAAGACTGCATGGGAGACAGTACTTCTGTTCACAGTCTCCAGTGTATTTGTTGGTCTTTTTTTGCAGGTAAAATTTGGACTTTTTACTCCCTCGGGTGTTGGAACTAGAGGGAAAGTTTTGACCAAATACTTTCCATTAAAGCCATCAAACTTCTGGAGAATTCCATCCCAATACTTGGTGCCTAAAATACATGTGCTTGGCTTGTGTTGTTTCCTCTTTCAGATAAAAGCTCTACCACAACAGCTTGACCATAAATTCACCTAACTCAGTGAATAAACTATAGAACCAGCCACAGTTAGACATTATGGGAACTACTGATTAGGGGGAAGAGGCAGGGAAAAAAACTCAGCCCTGTAAGCCACAGAGTAATTCTCTAGGTATGACTCTAGTTTTAGTCTATTCACCCCAAAGCATTGGTGCAACTTCTTCTCAGAAGTTATTTAGAGTGGGATTAGGATCATTTAGCAGAGGGCACTACTACAAATCTATTCCTCCAAACTTCTTGCCGGAAAGCTCCCATGCAGCTGAGCATTGTGATACCTAGAGTGAAGAGCTCCTGCACTGCTCCTCTGGCTCTTCTGTTATATGCATCACACTAGACATACCGACTGCTAAAGAAAGTTGTAACCTTATTCAGGTCTCAACTGTGATCTGTTTTTATACATGTCTATCCACTCCAATTTAAGTTCATTTCACATAACAAACCTGAAAGCTACTTCAAAACAAAACAAAAAATCCCATCTGAGCTGCCAAATGCAAACAAAAAATCCAAATGCAACCCACCCATCTGAGCTGCCTTTTCCAGCTGCTCATACACCTTTTAGCAGGTTTCTTCATCAGCTCATGGGCTTATCAGCATTCCACTTCTATTACTGCCCAAAGGCTCAGCAGGAGAGAACAATAGGCCAAAAGAAACCAGGACATTATTTAAATAGTGTCTAAAAATGGTCTGGGACAATATTTGAAGCATCAAATATGGTACAATTCAGGTGAAATTGTATCTTGTAAAATTTTAAACAAATGCTATCTAGGGAGCAGAATGCAGAAGCAACCCCACCACCAACCCGGAAACACATCAGTCCTTAAACATTTAACCCTTAGAGGTACATAGCAAAGCACTTAGTTACATATTGGTCAAACAGACTTTTCTTGAGGGTTTTGTTGTTTTTGTTTCATATGAAGCAAGGATTTCTTAGGGTGGTATCTGATATTGCACCAGCTAGGTAGCTGGGATAGAGTTAGACAAAAAGCTTTCAAAGGCATGACATTCAGTGTCTTGCCTTCGGAAGCTTTTGTCTAACTCTATCCCAGCTACCTAGCTGGTCCAATATCAGATACCACCCTAAGAAATCCTTGCCTCCCTCAATTTCTGGACCATTACAGCTTTCAGACAGGACATTTGAAACAAACTTTATTAAAAAAAACAAAAAACAAAAAAATCAGCATTCAATGAAGTTTTAAAAACAAAGTTTATTGAAACAGTCATGTGCAATCATAAATAAGTCATTACAATGCATGCAGCAGTAAGTAAATAGTACTTAGTATTTTCATGGTACTTTTCCTGTTCAAAACTGCTGGATTACACTTATCACAACTATACCCATTTTACAGAAGCTTTGCTTACAAGTTTGACTTTTATTTAATAAAAGTAACAAAGGAACCCATTTAATATATCTTAAAATCTAAAAACATTTCAAAGAAGCCATAGCTACTTCTTAAACCCCAAACAGCATTTCCATGTGCAATTTCAAACAATATCAGGTCATCCTGGTCACAGCCTTGTTACTTCATCAGCCAGGTACCAGTCTCCCCCAGTGCATATACCCACTAAGTTCAGGCTCCCGTAAGAATTCCTTTGACTTCCTCAAATTCAACAGAATTTAGACAAATGGACTAGCATTGGCCTGAACTAAAAGCACCCTTGATAGGAAACATCTTCCCTTCTCCCTTAAATCCCAAAAACAAAGACCTACAGAAGTGTTTGGGGAAATGGTACATTTCCCCAAGATATTTTGAAATGAACAGAAAATTCATTTTGAACATGAGCTGTTCACACTAGATATATTAAGTTCTTCAACTGAGAGAAGTAGTAAGCCCATAAAACCCATCCCATAATCTCACCCCTGCAGTCAGAGATAACCTAGTTCAAATGTGAAAAGCTAGACTGAACTGTTTGCGAACAATCTACAGACCAAGAAGCTGGTCAGTGAAAATGTGGTGGCTAATTATAATCAAACATGTGCCAGGGCATCACAAGCAGCTCCTTGACAGTTCAAATACAAAAAACTCCACTACTCACATGTAACTTAATTGTTCTTTGCTAGCATCCTTGCAACCTGTTCGCAGCTCTCCACTCACTTCTCCCCACATACGCGTGCGCACACACACACACACACACGCACGCACACACACGCACACACACACAACACGACACCCAACCCTCACTATTCTGAGACTTTTTTCCTTATTCAGAAAACTAATCATGCAAACAGCCGCCTATTTTCATGTGTGACCCAAGTGACAGGTTGCATATTGGCTACCAGAAGAGAAGGCATAACTTCTATCACTACCCTGCCCCCTCTTCTGCTCAAGCAGCAGATCAAGAGTAGCTCCAAATAATTCATTTCTCACATTTGTCCAATGATAGTCAAATTCGTGTACAGGCTCCTGTGATGGAACTAAGGCAGTCAGTGTCCCCTGAGATGCACTCTGACATTTTTCAAATGCTAAAGGAGGAACAGAAACAACAGGTAAGTCAATGTCACTTAGTAAACTGCACTTAACCTGCCCAGACTCCATCTTTATTTGCGGTTCTCCTTCTTCACCAGCACTTAAAATGGTACTTTTAAGATGAGAAGTGCTTGCATTGATATACAAACACTCATCAATTGTTCCTGGGCTAGTGTTTGGAGAGACAGGCATCCTGTACATATTCTCTTTAGCAGCTGGATACTGGTAATCTTGTGCATACTGCTGCCCTCCTAGTTTTAGAGTTGCTGAGGACTGGAGAAGATCTCCTTCTGTGTAATAGTCTTCAAGTAAGGCTTTGTTGTATGGATGTTGTTGCACTGGTTGCAAAGGAAACTGGATCTGGGAAGAATTCCCAGTGGGGCCTACACTGAACTGAACTCCATTTGCCATGTAATCCAAGTTGTGGTTAACTGAGGGCTGGATTGGGCTTCCTGCCGCATATGTGTTGTCCGAGCCCCTGAAGTGAGCATCAGACCCAGAAAATTGCTGCCCAGAATACTGCAAGGGTTGGCAAAGAAAAATTTGATTGGTCCTTGCTAGATCTGGCTGCAGATTAGTGAGATTCTGATCAGGCGCTGGATCATGCATCGTTCTTGGGCTCTCTTGGCCCAGGTGGGCCAGCTTCTGTTTGCCACACTCCTGTCTGAAAGTGGCAGAAGCTTCTGCCTTCTTGTGATTTAGCTGCCTGGCTCTTCTGTTTTGAAACCAAACCTGGGAAGAAGCAGCAGAGAAGTTAAAATAATTTCTGACAGAAGCACCCTTAAAAAAAAAAAAAAAAAAAGCGGG